AAATATTTGCTATACCACATGCTAGAGAAAGGACAAGGGAGCTTTAGCATTCACTGTCTACAATTTGCCTAACATCTGCAAAATAATCAGAAACAGAAGTGTGTAGATGGAGTTGGGGGGATATTGTGATGTATTCCCTTTTCTGTGATCAGAAGCCATGAAGCATGGGGAGAAGGAAATAAGCAGACCACAAACAGTGCAGGAACAAGGTCACCAGGAAGGAGCCAGAAGATGAGAGATTTGGGTCAAGAGTGAACTGTGCACAAAAGTACTACTTCTCATTGTTGGTCTCTTCCTTTGCCTGGAATTTGTTTACATTTTATTTAGAAGAAAGAGATATATTGGTACGTGACTGGTAAAAATTCAGAACAGTTCTTAATAACAAGGAATAAATGTTTTTTCCCTGTCAGTGCAAGCTACTATCCCCCTTTTTAGCTATGGGAGAAGCTGAACAGGTAGTTATCCTGATAGAATTACTGCAGTGTGAAAAGGTGGATCTTCATCCTACAATGACCTGGACAATTTGATTCCTTCACCTTTCCCATTCTTATAAAAGTGACTAATTGTGCTGAAGCAGGTTCAGGACCCACTGAATGAAATGAAGGATAACAGCCCACAAGAATAGGATGTCCTCTCCCTCTGTGTAAACAACAATCAAGTGCTGTTTTTAACTACAAGATGGCTTTATTGCTTCAATTTGTTTTATGGATTCTTCACCATCCATTACTTAATTAAACTTAAAATACAAGCTTGGCTTTATCATTACTGAGCCTGTGAGCAATCATTAAGTGTCACTGAGCCAGCTCTTTGTGTGGTTTTACAAACCTTTATTTTGAGGATAGGGTGGGAACAGCTTATTTGATCTGGCTTGGTTATCCTGAAATCGATAGGTTGTACCAGATCCTGAACACACTACTGCAGTACGTATGCGAGATAAAATACAGGGTCAGGAGGCTTGTTTAGCTGATGCATTTCATCAGTGTTATAAATATACACCAGGCCAAAACCAAAGTCAAACACGGTTGAATTAGCTTTCTCTGGTGCCCCATGGAAATACCCTCCTTCCCTGCAATAGTTTTTCCATGGAAAGCTTTCTAAATTATGTCATATTTCTCCTTCCTGACACTCTTTAACTCTTTCTTCTGCAAGTATCCAGTAATAGACAAGTTCTTTGATAACATTAGTTTTTATATACTTTTTCTTTTTTTTTTTTTTTCTCAGTGTGGCTTTTCTTTTTTATTTTATTCCATCCTGAAAAACATTTCAGTTCATTCAGTGGAGTTGCTATAATTTTTGCTCAGTGCTTTTAGTTTCATACTCCTCTCCCAACTTTTTCCATCGAGGAAGCCAGGATCTAAGATCCCTCCTGTGTTTAATTTAATCAGCATTTCAGATTAGCTCCCTACTACCCATGTGTGTGAGGGAACAAAAGAAACTTAGCATGAACTTTGTGACTGCTGCTTGCTTAACAGGACTGGTTTACCACTTTCCTGTAGGAGCAGCAGAATCAGCTTAGTGAAAACTTTTTGTTGTTCTGAACTTCTCTTGAGACACTGAGAAAAAAAGACTGAAACAAAGGACGGCTTGAAGGTGAAAAAGGTGTCAGGAACAGAGGTTGTCTGCTGCAAGGGTTCCCAGGTAACAGGCAGCCTGGGCTTCTTTAGCTGTTTCTGAGACAGACAGATTGCTGAGTCAGTGCTCTTACGGTGTCCTTCAAGAATTAATTAAAGCAGTGAAGAATATGCTTTGCTTCCTCAGTAGGATTTTTTTTCCTGAAACTGTTTTGAGCAGTTTTGGCTGGAGGAAATGGGAGACAAGTGCCATTATCACATAAAGGCAAGACCACTTCCTCCAGGACAAAAGTCACAGGTATATGGGTCAAAACAGCAGCTGGAAAAAAGCTGGAAGTCTTTCAAACACATGAGCTTTAATTAGGCAGACTCAGAATAATTGGAGAAGGTTTGTACCAGACCACCTGGAAGCAAGCTTCAGATGTTTACCAGTAAGGATAAAGCACCTCTGCCTAACCTTTCTTGTTACCGGAATTTTACACAGCTTGATTTAATCTGGGTTGGGATAACAAGCCTTGAATATGAAGTTCTCAGGAACTTTGTTCAGCTGATTTTCCAAATAAGCTCCATACTTGTAATATTGTTGTAAATGCACATTAATTACACAGGAACCTTAGACGTATTTGGCAAAGCTGGTTGCCACAGCAGTTGTTGCTGTTTTACATGGTCTATTTAAGCAGTTAGCTTTCTGGTATGGTAATATTACAAAATAAGCACACTCACTGTGGGGAGAAAAGCAGCAACCCACTAAGCCTCTTCTTCCTAATATGGTGAAATAAAAAGCCTTGGTCCCAGCCAGCTGAAGTGCTGATGGAGCCAAAGCCCAAGGATCAGTGTGGTGTGGCGCCTGAAGAGCACAAAGGTCGTGGTCAAGATTCACACTGGGAGGGCAGGAAATGTTTAAATTCCCTGACCATGACTAAATGATGGGAGCCAGTGATGCTATCAGGGGTGCCCTCTTCTCATCCCAGCTCGTGTTTGATTCCAGAATGGTGAGAGCGTTCCCTCCTGCAGTTGCTGGCTCGAGAGCTCTGGGCTGTGCTGTATAGCATGTATAGGGACTTGATTTCCACAAAGGTTTATATTAAGCAGGGACATGAATTTCTCAGTGAGCAGAAATGTTGGGATCTCAGGCCCCAAGCTGAAGAGGAGCTGGTGAGAGACAAGCTGTGGCAGAAGGACACACAGCCCCTGGTGTCTCCTCTGCTTGCACAATGTCCAGTGAATGGAGGCCCCAAACACCACTGGAGTTCCAGGCAGCTTTGCCTTTTTCCTTACTCGTGTTCACTATCAACTTTTCAACAAAAGAGCGCAGGTTTTCACAGCAACAAGCAATGGGTTGATGGGTGCTGTTTGCCCCGTCCCACCTAGCTCCCAGCTGAAGAGATGGGGTTTTCTGGCTGCTTCTCAGGAGTTCTGCTTCTGCTGGTTAAAACTCTGCTCAAGGATGCTTGGTACACTATTAACTCATCATATTTAAATCCAGTGATCCTTGCATTTTTCTTACTTGCTAATGTGAGGATGAGACATAGATGAATCCACAAAAGAAAGGGAAATCCATACAAAAACCCTAGAGGCTGACATGTCCAGATGCATAATTCCGGTGATTATAATTTATCAGGTACCCCAGCCGTGTGAGGCTTTGGGAATAAAAGCCGACTGAAACTCACATCTCCCCAGAGGGAGAGCTACAACAAAAGCGTTTTAACCACACTTGTGCCGCCAATTCCTCTTGCATTTGGTGACTGTGGCTTGTTCTAATTAAAACAATAACAGTTTCAGCACTGTGTTCTAAAGCAAACAAACTGTTTATGAGGGGAAAAAAGGAGAGAAACACTGAAGACAGCACTTCTCTTTCCAGAGAACGTCTCCCCCACCACATAGCGTGTTCTCTCCTGCTGCAATGCCATCGCCCATCAGAGAGCTTTGCTTCCAAGAGCACAGGGGCTGATTTGGCAGATGAATCATCCATATTACACCTATGAGTGTTCAAAAAGAGGCGAAGGCCTGAGCTTTGCCTTTTATAAAGTCTGATCATGTCCAAAGCTGGGTTTGTTGTGCTCTGTTGTTCCCACTACAGCTCCCCAGCCTGGAGCTCAGATCTAGCCCAGAAGGACCTGCCCAGATAAAGTGAGGAGGCCCTGCGAGCTCCAGGGAAGCATCCAGCCCTTCACTGGCAGAGAAGGATGAGGCAGAGGCAGCAGCACAGTGAGGGAGAAGCATGCTCAGTCGGCTTTATGAAATAATACATTGTTTATACATCCATTAGGAAAACTTTGATAAGGAGGGAAACACTGAAAAGGAAATATCTTTTTTTCTAGTGGAGTAAAAGTGATGCCTGTGGTTTTAAACAAAGGCGTTTTGGCAGGATCATGCCGTACAGAAGAGGAAGAGAAAGGGAAACTGTATTTGAATTAATTCAGATAAGTGAAGGTCAGAAGACCTTAGGTCAGAATTTTCCATTAATTCCTATGGTCTAGCTCTCTGCCAAAATTGTTACCTCCTAACTCCTTTGTACAAATATTGTTGTGGTTATTACTACTGATTGCTGTATCTACTGCAATTACACATACAAAAGCTGTTTACAGTATTGCAGCCATAATAATGCGAAAGAACAAAGTCAGGCGATTTTCATGGTGGGTGTTATATGAGATTTCGAATGAATTTGTATAACTCTCTTCAGCATGTACCTACAGTGGGGAAAAGACAAGAACAAAAGAGCAAGGAGCAAACCTAGCTTTAATTCAATACCTGTATTGAATCTTAACTTGAAACTTGTTTTTTGGTGAATCATAATTTTTTGAACCTTGATCAATACCTCTGTTTGACCTAGAATATACTACTTTAATTCAAAGTCAAATTTTGTTTAAAATTATTTTAACTTAAGAAAAAAACCCAAATCTTTTTTTAAGCGTTTTCAAATTAAAAGTAATTCTTTTTCCAAATTAAAATATTTCAAGTTTTTTTCTTTTTTGGAGTGAAGACGAGTTTGTAACATATTTCAGTGTTCCCAGTTCTCATTAATTTTCCCCAGAGAAGTTTTCACTGAGGCATTTCATCCAGTAAGCAAAACAGGAAGGGATAGAAAGAGAAACTGAGGCAAAAAGAAGTGAAAATAGTTTTCCAGTGTCTCTTTAGATGGATACCAGTATTAGAAATAGAAATTGTGTTTCCTGAGTTCCCTCTAGATTGGGAAATACTGAAGGACATTAAAGAGATAAGTTATCAGATGCAAAATACATGTCCAGCCTTTATTGTTGTGAGCAACGGAGATCATGACAATTACCAGGACTGTGTACTTGGCCTCTGAAATCTTGTTCCTACTTCCTGGTACAGCCACAGGTCAAGCACTGGTTGCCTGCTCCATTTGCATGGCACAAGTTAGCGTGATAGAAAGATGATTTTCTTTGTATGGCTTTCTCTTTTCAGAAAGTCCTTCTCTCGTTGTCGAAGAATTAACAGGATGCTTTCCAACGAGTCAGTGCCTCCTGCCTTCAGTCGCTCCAATTCTCAGGCCTCCATGGACAGCACTTCCATGGAGGACTTCTGGTGTGAGGTGGAGAGCATCAAGGAGAGCAGAGAAGATGGACCTGAAGAAGCAATGCTCTTGGAGTTCAAACCTGCTGATGGTGAGAACATGAACACCACTTACTCCTCATTCCCTGGCTTTGCCTCCTCCCTAAAGAGCCATGGCCTGATCTCCTTCCTCACATGGCTCAGTCTGAGCAGAAGTACTAGTCTGGGTCTATGATCATTGTAGCTCCTCTTATGAACATCACAGTTAACCACTGGCAAGAAACAATAATTGTCTGGTTTATGCACTGGAGCCACTAATTAACTTCTGAAGTGAGTTTTGTTGCATTGATTTTATTTGTGCTTTGGGAAGACAGATACAGTGTAATTCAGAAAAGAGAGGCACTCAATGAAAACTAAATTTACAGCATTAAATAGATTAAACCAAAACATTTAAAGTAGCAAAATGTTAATTTAGTATGCTATAATTTTAAACTTTCTGGCTTTTCATAGGATATGATTCAGAAATAATTAAAGTGTTGAAGCAGTTTTTGGTTAGATGTAGTATTCTCCTATCAGGAATTTGATATCTGCCTGTTTCTCTGAAATTGCCCAATTAAGATATCATTCAAGGAAAGTTTAGAGATAAGTCTGAGTGTAGGGATGCCTACATTGTTCAGGCTCTCCACTTGACCAAATTAATTCATCATTTATACAACATGTCCTGAAGGTATTACTGCCTCATTGTGTTACCATAATGTTTTCCCCTCTCGTTAGGCACTGTGTTTGGAAAAACATTCAGTATGTGATAGCTTGTTGCAATGTACCTTTGTGTTAGATGATTTGATAACACCTAGAACAGTGGTTCCCATTTTTTTTTTTCCAGTTAGGACCCCCATCACGAATGTATTAGATTGTGTAACACAAAATACCAGGTGTTGCTATACAATGAAACCAAATTTCTTCTGAGGTCGTGACCTGCTGATAACTGCTGCTACCCTTCTGTGGCTCCTGGCCCCTGGTCTGGTAACTACTGATGTAGGGATAGATTTTGAAATGATGGCATGCTCTTTCCATACAATTATTAACATGAATGATAATGTATTTTTCCTACCTTGACGTGCAATGGGATGTCATTAATTCTGCTACCAGGAAGAATGGTGGAAAGTACTGCTTTATTAAGCAATCAAATATGCAACCAGTCATGGTAAGTAACCCATGCAGAGGTGTCTAGCTCCAACCATGTGCTTTTTCCATGGGAAACACCTCCCATTCACTAGTTTCCAGCTGGGCTCTCCTGGAAGCTAAAGAAGACCACCAGAAATCTTGGTCTGCTGTGAGAGTTATGATCAGTCAGCCTAAATCCACTGTTCTGAACTCCTCTGTTTCTTATTGGGAAAACTCCTGTCTGGTCATACTCTTCAGCATGGAGACTCGCTAAGGAGATCATGAGCCTCTTGGTGCCACCTCCATGCAATTGTCAGCACAAACTAACAGGTGTCCCTGACTCGTCTGCGCAGTCAGGGGAATGACACAAATCTGTGAGCTGCCAAGTTGGATAACTTAATAGGACAAGGCAATACAAGATCTTACTTTCCAGAAACTTCTCCATCAGTTTCATCAGTGCTGAACTAAATCTTCTCAACTGCCTGAACCCTGCTGCAGTCCCGTGTTACCCTTTGTCTGAGTACACCTCATGAAATCACATTGATTTTTTCCCCTTTGCCCTGAATTAAAAATTAGACTGCAAGTCAAAATGCAATACATCTCCACACTTCATTTACCTTCATATTAAATGCATATATATGTATTGCATACACCCACACACAATCAGGCAGTGCTTGTCCTAGTTATTAACATCAGGAATATATTCAGTCTGGGATCATAAATCTTGGAAATAATAGTGAGTTCTATTAGGGTCCTAATAGGATAATACTCCTTGCCAGTGATCAAAACACTAAAAACCAATGTGGAAACCCTCAGGGCAAAATAAAAGCAAATATTAATTTCAGATGTCTTTGAGAGGAGGAGATGAAGATCCTTAAGAAGGAGGCCAAAGGGTGATAGAAGCCAGGCAGGCATGACTGTCAAAACCTCAGTGTGCTTTGCCAGACATCATGTGCAAAGGGCAGACAACAGCATACTTATTCTGTTGATGTTAGCAAATACAGTCAAAAAGGAACAGAAGATCATAACAAGTGACACAAGGGATGAAAATGTAGGGGAGGCGAAAGTCGTGGTGTATTTAAGATGCCCATGTTGTGCAGAATTGCTTTACAACTTCTGTTACAAGGCTTGAATGCTGGGAGTTATTTAAGGTTATATCTCTGGGCTGTTTCAGGTTATATCTGAGATTCAAAGCAAGACACATGTCTTTCCTAGCAAACTCTATGAGAAAAAGAGAACTACTCTCTCAATTATCTGTCTTCTGGTGCTGCAGAATCAAACACAGTATCAAGACCGTGCTCTATTAGTAGCTAAAACTATAAAAGTAATGCTTTCCTAAACTACATGGTGGGGGGGGGTTTAACCTTAATTTGATACCAGTGTGTCTTAAAAAATTGAGCATTTTTTAATGCAATAATTTCTTCTCTTTAATACTTTTACTCTTTTGATTGCTGTCATTATGTGTTAGTCTATTGTTTGTGTGTGGTTGGAACAGGAAAAGGGAAAAGCCAGAGAAAACACATCACAGGGTGACTCGTAAGCACGCAGAATTTAATGTCTGCCCTAATGTTTTTCATAGCAAGTTTGATTACAAGGTAAATTCTTGGAAAGAATATGTCAGGACAAAAGCCAGAATTAATGTTACTTAAAAGCTGAAATATGGACACATGTGGCTCCAACAGCAGCGCACAAGAAAGAGAAGAGACCTTCTTAGAAAGAAGAGTGAAAATGGCAGAAGAATCACTGATTCATAGGTACAGAGAAGGAAAAGGAACAGTCTTCATCCTGTCTGTGGATACAGAAAGGATAAGAGCAGAGACAAGCTCTTTCATGGGATACAGGGCTGGTCACACCCCTGGCTAACACAGAGCAGGGGTTTAGAAGCAGCTATTTTTGTAATGCTTTGTAAAGGGGCAGGGCAGTTAACAATGAAGTCAGTGATGGTACATGCATAAGATGCTTTTGCTTGTCCCTACAGCCCAGTCCTGTAATTTCCTCTTTTGTGTATGTAACTGCCAAAGTGCAGCAAACTGGTGTCCGTCAATCAGCCTGCATTCTGATGTCAAGAAGAGGCAATAAAGGGAGAGTGGAAATACCAACCTGCCATTAAGACTGGTGCTGGGACAAGAACAATAAGTGCATTGACGAGCTGTTTTATAGAACATGCTGCAAATTAATCAGTTTCCTGTTTGACATGTTTATTTGTAGTACCTCTTCTTCAGTCAGGGCTGGAATGAAATTACTGTCTTGTGTCAAGCAGCTTACTGCTGAGCTAGGATTGCTCACAAAACCGAAATGAAGGTCCTCAAAATCTCCTACGTGAATAGAGATTTTAAAATACTATGACTGTTTATTTTTAAAAGAACACAAATCAAAAAGCAGTAAGAGCAAAGTTTAAAATTACTGAATGATTCAGAGAAGGTAGACTTGGACCTTTCCACAGCCAGATAGTGACAAGGGACATTCATTTCAGGTAACAGGTAGCAAGCTGAAAACCTATATTGTCTTCACATGGACAGTTTTGGTAGTGAGAGGACTGCAGGTATGGCTCTGTGAAAAGATGCCAGAAGCATCTGCCATGTCCAACAGAGCCAGGATAGAAAACAATTCTTCCCACAATGCATACCCTCACTATGGAACCAATTCCAGTATTGAACCAGTTGGGAATCAGGTATTGAACAGATTAACGAAAGTATTAACATTGAGATCCCAAAAAACAATGGGGTGTACAGTGCTAATGAGTCTTTAATAATTAGAAGTTAGAGTGATACCTGGCTTGCCAGGATGGCTATTTCTGCGTCTTCCTCCCTTACATGACCTCTCAGACACTTAGCCCTTCCTGACCCTTGTTCTTTAGTGAGCAGTTCTGGTTCTTAATAATCTTGTTCAAAACAAGCAGTTGGACTAGGTGGACATCACCCTTCTCTCACTGTGGCTTCTTCACCAGCTACCAGCAGACCCTCTGGAATTGCACCACTAGAGTGCAAATCCATTATTCTGTTGCATACACATCTCCAGTATTTCTGTTTATTTGAATTGGAATGCCAATTTTATTTCCATCAGCCAAATGGAAATAAATTCTCCAGTACACCATGCTACAAATGGTGAGTGTGGCATAAATGGGAACTGAGGGGATTTATGCTTTTGAATTATGAGTTAATTTTCAGGGACCTTGCTTTGTCAGGCTGGTTACTCTGCTGCCTTCTTCACGTGCATATGCTGATAAAATGCCTCTTCTGTTTTCCTCATAAGCCTCTCTTTTGCAGATACTGATAAACTGAAAGTTTTTTGAAGACAATATGTTTACAAACCTAACTTAACTTGCCCTTGTGGCCTAAGAAAGGTTGGAATTAGAGTATTCTCAAGGTAAAGACTGTGATAGCAGTCCAACATGCCAACTCTTTTCCTCAGTCCCCTCTCCCTTCTTGCCAGGGTTATTAACATGCTGTCTTCCTCCACAGAAGGGGAGCTGGAGGCGGAATGGCTGCAAGACGTAGGTTTATCCACATTGATCTCAGGAGCTGAAGAGGAGGATGGCCAAGCCCTGCTGTCCACTCTGACCAGAACTCAAGCTGCTGCTGTACAGAAGAGGTACAACACCTACACTCAGACCCTGAGGAAGAAGAACAAGCACACAGTCCGGGATGTGCGAGACATCTTTGGCACCAGTGACTCTTCTGTAAGTGTCCCCATGCATGCCTTTGATCTTAACTTTTATGCAATTTGCAAGTAGCTCACCAAAGTTTGTGCCAGACAGGAACCCTTTCCTGCTGACAATGCACAGACAGTCATTAGCAGTTTCTGACCATAACACCAGACTTTTAATGTTGTAAACAGTACATTTGAGAGGAAAGGAAAAAAACAAATGCAGTGGTACAGTTTTGTAACTAACCTGTAACATAAAGTTGTATCTGTTGCCAGCCATCCTCCTGCAGCCTCATGTCAAGACTAACATTTGCTCCTTTATTTTTTGGAAACTGGTGAGTTACTCTTGGCAGCTATTCAAATTTTTGATGGCTTCTGGGGACACTTGCTATTTACTCAGCAGTCTCAGCGGTGAAGTAAAACTTGTCTAATGAAGCAACTGGGGTTCAAATATGCATAAGCAATTAAACACATGCCAGCACGATTGTAGCTTGTACACTGGCAGTTACATTTCTCTTACATAGCAAACAAAAACCTATTACTGTTCATTTGCTTCATGGCTTCAGAAATCAGCAGTACCTCTGGAGGTTTCATCCACTTTTCCCTGAGGATAGCTCTGAACACACCAGTTCCCGTCAGTACATTTTGATTCTGGTGAATGTAGTCAGCTGCGTGAGTTTAGTCCACTGCTCAAAGCAACACTCATGATTTTATGTTTATCACTCATGATGTCTTAAATGGGAATCACCAGTAAGATCACAAGCTCACCTTTGAAATTATTATTAAAATTGTTGCCATTATAAAACTCCCACAAACTGTTTTTCATTATGGCATTGCTTTTTCCTTTCCTGTGTGTTCTCCCATTTCCTCAAGGCTTGATATCCTGGATTATTAAAAAAAAATTGGGAACAAAAATTGTAGCTGCATAGTTATGTTAAAATTACAAAGATACAATGTCCAGATATTTAAACTTTTTGTTTCCAAATTTAATATCTGGATTTGTTTGAACCTCTTGCACATATCCCACTAGTACATCCAGTAGCATCCAGTAGTTTCCTGTGGGCAGACATTCTTTAATGAGAGATATCAGGCATGTTTGCATGAACATTAAAAAGCTTGTGGTACTTCTAGTTAGATTAGCTCACTTCTCCTGATTCAAGTATCTGTAAACCATAAAGTGTTTAATTTTTTTTACAAAAGCTTGAGTTTCCTAATTAATTTAAGCCAGACAAATAAGAGTTGTATGTTTCCTCTCAGATGGGCATATTATTGATTTATTTTTGACCTGCTTATTTTCTCCTTCTAACTTGATAAAGTTTCTCACTTGCAAAAGGAATTTGGATGCTCAGAGCAGCTGCCCTTCAAATCAGTGTTCTACCTCCTCCAAAAGTTAGTTCACTTACTAGTTCTGCATTGTGAAACTCTAAAAGATAAGATCAAATCAGTAATTAGGTCTTCTAATTCTTCTTCCCACAAAAAATATGCAGTTCTGCAGGTGCTGACCTAGATGTTAAACCCAGATGCCCAAACACAAGTGCAGAGCACACCATCACCTCCTTCCCACAGCCTGTGAAACATTTTAGTTCTAAAAGCCTACAAGGCCCCAGCACTCTAATTTTCCTATTCACCAGTGCTCCTATCTCTGCTGCTTGTTATGGGATTTAGAAACTTTGTCCTAATTATCAGCTCTTCAGGGATAAACACACTTCAGGAGGGCTTGTGTCCCTGACCTAAGGGTTTCCCAGGTCAGGTTTCCCAGGTTTTTAAGGGGGTATCAGCAGTCCCTGGATCTTTGCTGCCACTTTGGGTATGGCCCTACAGCTAGCTGCCAGAGAATCTCTGAGATTTATCAGTTTGGGGAAGAGAAGGACATTAAAAACAACCCAGCCAAAAGAAAAGAGTGGCTGGAGATGGGGACAAGCAAATCTTTTCAGCACAGCTGGGGAAGAGAGGCTGCTTGAAATGACATGCAGTTCTGCTTTCCCATCCTGCCTTTTAGTTGGGAAGGGCAGAAGTAAACAGAACATGCTGCAAATAGCAAATCAGATCTAATTGTTTCACTTAACTCTATAATCCTCCCCATTAGGAGAATGGATTTACACCTCTTCCCAACAACCTAAGAATCACAAGAGCCCAGAGGGATGGGTCACAGGATGGATTACTCTCTTTCTCGGCTAATGATGAGAGAAAAGGGGATTAGCTCACTAGGGTCACCTGAGATGAGATTTAGGGGACCACTAAAGAGGCATAAATTAGTTGTCATCTGGAGTGAGGGAAGAAGAAGATAGATTTGCCCTAGTTTTTTCCTCTCTGTTCTGAAAAAACCCTGCCTACTAGATGTTTTGGTACTACTGCCTAGTGGCCAGGCTCTGCATGGGTCAGCACAGAACAAAAGGTGCTTTTCCAGCCATCCTGCCTTGAGGTCCATGCCCTCATGGCAGGAGTGTCCCCTCAACAGACAGAATGGACTGAAATAAAAGGAAATGCAGCTATTCCTTTTCTTGTTTTGGTAGCAGGGGTTTATTTTCTTCTGTTGCCTGTCCTGGAAAGAAGCCATTCATCCCTTGGGGCAAAATGTTGCCCCTTGTTACAAAAAACACTACCCCTGTGGTTACAAACGCCACACCTTGGCAAGCAGAGCAGCCTGTCCCAGCTGAGGTGCTTTTGCTCTGCTTCAGACAAGTCCACAGCCAGCAGACTCGACTGACAGCCACACTACAGGGTTTTAAATTGGATAGTTTATTAATCACAGTGGCCTGATTTTCCTTACTGCTGCTACCCTGCTGCTTCCATCAGAAGCTATCGGCTCTGCTAGTGCTCAGAGCTTAGAAAAATCAACAGCAGCATACAAATGGGGGACACACATACATTCATTGTGTTATTGGACAGGGGAGATGAAGCACTGTGCTCATTAACAGCCCAACCCTGTACATTGTAATTAACTAAAACTCCTGAAGACTTTCTATAAGCATTTTACTTCATCAATGCATGACAAAATCATGTCCTAGTTAAAGAAAAATCCCTTACTAACCCAGAGCTATTTGCATGAAAAGGTGTTTGTGGTGGCAGTGCCTGGAAATGTGAATATATTCAAAACATGGGCAAATTTATCCTGGCCAGAGCTATAAGGTTATGCTCCTTTGCCTTTATTTCCTTTAGCTTCAGGGCTGAAAATAAAATTTTGTCTCTTTGGTGCTCCAATGGTTTGGTTTTACATCTCTACAATGAGTGTAGCTACTAAAGAACTGTTTGTCTTCCTCATCTCCATCCTCTCCTTTGCTCTTCTGATTTCATCTTCCCATTGGAAATTCCTGTGTATGTTGTAGCAGTAAACAGTGGGCTCATTTTTAGTGTGTCTAATGAATCACTTTCAGTCAAAATCAGGATATGGGAAGCCTCACCTTTGCTGAAGCCTCAGGCAAATGAATAAAGCTGTCCCAGTTTATTTAAGGACACAGTTTGACTCTTGGTCTTTCACATTCATTGGGAAAAGGTCTTCAAAAGTTCTTTAATTTTCTTTTACCCTGCAGAAATAATCTGGATCTTTAAATTCATGCATTAAAAAGGTTTTATTCCCAGTCTTTCTAACATTAAAAAAAGTAAGGGCGGGGAGAAAGGAAGACATTTTAACAAAAGAGACATCGATTTGGTTTCATTATAGACTCTCACTGTGGAGGCTGGGAAATGGGGCTGAGGATATGAGATTTTCAGGTACCCCAGTTATTGTGCACAGTTCACATTATGCAGTTCCCCAGGCTAGGGCTGCCTGCTGCCAGCCCTGCTGGTGCCAGGCAGAGTGTGCAGTCCACTCCATCTTCCATATCTGTGTCTGCCAGCTCTGCCCTGCTTATCAGAACCAGGGTACTGCAGGTGCTTCACGACTCGTTTCACCCATGTAACAAGGCTGGAAGAGGTTTTTTCTTAATAAATTTGATTTACCATAAATCTATTCTGAGTATTGTTCACAGGGTCAGACATTTTGAGCACTGAAAGTAGATGAGCCAGTTGCTAATATTTACCATTAATTTCTCCATCTGGATCTTAAGCAGAAGCATATCTGCTTTTATGGTTGATTTTCCCAAATTGCTGAGACAAGTTTAGCAATCCTCTCCAATTCTATACTCCCATCTGAAATTTATAGGGCTTTTTTATGTCCTGAAGCTTTTTGTGTAAATGTTGTGGGATTTTATCTTGAGTATCCAGTACTCTTTTTTAAAAAATCTATGGTCCTTACAGTCTTCTGGCAAAGGAAGCCCATGTGACTCAGATCCTGTTTGCTATCAAGTTCACAAGCCATTGAATGGACTTTCTCAGGAGAGATTTTATTCTTGTTACATTTGACTTTGTTACCCAAATAGCTAAAGGATAAGACTGGATAAAACAACTGAAACGTTATTTAAGACTTCCAATTAGAAGAGCTGCCTGTCATTTAAATATCTGACATTTTTTGACAGCCTGAACACTTTTCCCACACATTGACTACAACTAGGGAAAATAAAATTTTTGCCCTGAGGCATTGCTACTTGTTGATAAACAGCTGACTTAGCAATTTAAAGACCAATTAAAAGAGCTGCTATTAAGGGCTCATGGGGGCCTGCAGCTACAGGTTCAGCTGGAAAACTGGGTCTGTTCCATCAGGCTCAGGGTGTGTGAGACAGCAGGTTTGAGAAGGGCTGGGTGCTTCCCACAAGGGTACAAATAACAGCAGAAAAAATGTACACATTGTAGTTCCTTTCACTGAGTAACCTTCAGAGCAGTTTTATTATTCCTGATCTTGTTTTTGTGTGTGTTTTTTTTTTTTACTCAAGAATGAATAGTTGAGCTGTTATTACCCATGGAACACAAACACTCAGATTTGTCTTTATGAGCCACAAAACTGCTGAGGACAAGGCCAAAACTCCGCTGCTAAGAAGAGGTGACACTGCTTGAAAGTCACCCTCTGGGCTGCCAAGCCACCTCTGAGCAGTGCAGAATGGTTTCTGGAGTGGAAAGAAATGAATTTGAATATAGAAAATGTTTCTTTGTTCCCCCAAGTTGTTTGTTGCAATTCACTGATAAAAGTATTAGTGGAGAACCTGTGGGAGGACATCCATCCTTTAGAAGCTTTCTGGTGCCCAAATCACAAGAGGTAGCAGACTGACTGATTTCTGCCAGGTCCCTGGGAATAGTGGGTATTCAACATGTGCCAAAGAGTCTTCAAAAAGATATGTGACCAAAATTATTAAAGCCAGGATGAATTACAATTTGAGGAGGACCTTTCAGTTAGCCTAATTCTGTACAGCAATTTACTTAGCTAATTTCAGTCATTTTATAGGACAGGACTCATTAGGTGCAGCAAGCTGCAGTATTACTGACCTCCATACGGTCCAAATCTGTGCAGTCTGGGGAAGATTGATTCTCAGGCTTGGCTTTGAAAAATATACTCTGAAGAATCACAACAGATTGTTTAATCTTGTCAAGAGAGTGTAAGCAGAGAATGATACACCTTTGCTTGAACTGTAGCAGTTTCTGTCTGTAGACGTTTGCCTTCACTGCAGTCTGATCATTTTTCCTTGCCTATCAGCCCACATTTGAGACAGTTCCAGTGTCACCAGTATCTTCTAATGGTATCCAGCTTCCTGGGCAGAAGCCAGTTTGGAAATCAGTTAGCTGTGAGTATGACAACATGTAACCAGTGTTCACTTCCTCTTAGTAAATGACAGACAGAAAGATCCTTTTCTGGTTCAGAGGTTAGTCCCCTCTTTCATGTTGCGGCAATGCTATGTATATTTCTTTAAAATCATTGTCAGCTTATTGTCATGCAGGAACCAAAGTTTGCCATTAAAGATCAATGTTGTACAGACACAGACTGCTGCCCTTGAGGCATCAGCATCTAAAAACGCTGATCATTGCAAGGCTGGGAATGTAAAAATAATCTGTAAGCAATATCCTGCAGAATTTGTCCAAAATATGTCATTAGTGTATTTTCGTGTTGCAAATCAAAGTATATTTCCTCCACGTTTCTTCTCTAGTATTGCAGAAATTGTAGTATTAGAAATTTATAATTTTCCTAGTTCTGCCCTGTTATTCTGATCTAGGAATGGTGTTATCCCTTAAATTCTTTGCCCTGACAGTGATTGGCAGTGCTAATGAAAGTAATAGCTCCCCTCTACACAGTGTCTGGATAATTGTCAGCAATCTTCCATGAGAATGTTCATCTCTCAGTTTGAAAGCTCTTCCCATCACCATTGTTCAGAGCTTAACTAAAGGGATATTAATACCCAAATTTCTAAACTAATCCCTTGGATGTTTACCTCTGGATTCAGGGGCACAGACATTTTCCTTGATGGCAAAAGCTGCTGAGCTGATACTTCTGCTCTGCAAGCAGTTTTACTGAAACAAATGGGAACCAAATGCCCAGAGGTACCATGAGCAGCCTGTGGTGCCATGTCCAAGAGAGATGGGAAGAGAGATGGAAAACACCTTAAATGGCTTGGACATTAGACAACAACTAAAGCCACAGTTCAGAAACCAGAAGCCACCTAATAACACACTTAACTTTTTTCATATCAGACTTGTAAAATATGCGGTGTTGCAGAAAAGTCCCTGTAACTGTAAATGGAATGATTCAGAGAACATGGGGCAGTGAATTTTAAAAAATTACATGTTTATAAGACATGTAATTTTTTAAAATTCACTTCCTGATTGCCATGACTTTTGAATACACTTGTGTCCTGTTAGTAAATTCTTCTCTGTAGTTCTGGGGGCTGAAATTTTACTTCACTTTCAATTAAATTTATTATTCCATCCCAAATGGATTTAGGAGCTGAACGTTACAGGAAAACTAAAAATTTTCCTGAGATACTAGAGATCCATCAGGAAAATTGGCAACCCTTTAACTCATTTATGTTTTCACGCTTTGGCCTCCATGACAATAGCATATTTCTGGACTTGATTGTACTGATTTCAAAAATTTTCCTCTGACATCCAGCAATTTAAGGAGGTGACTAAATTTTAGAGAAGAACATTAAGTCATTTCACAATATCTACTATAAATGCCAGTAGATACAGTGTTTTTCAAACTGGAAAATTGCATGTTTTGTCCTTTTATGGTGCTATACACCTAAACTATCAAAAATGAGAAATATGTGTATGTCACTACATAAAATATATGCACAATATCTTGTGATTGTATATAAGTCATCAGTAACTTGAGAAACTGTGTCAACAGCATTTTTCTGTCAAGACCTTTTATTTTTAATTGTTCATTTGACAAGTGCCACCACAGTTTGCTGGCCTGGGAAGACAAGGATGGAGTAAAAAAACTTGGTAATTCCTGATAAACAGGAAGTTCCAGCTTGACTGTCTTTCTCACAGAAAGCAACAAGTTAAATAATCTAAAACGAAAATAGGGATTTTATTTCTAAGGGGTTATTTCCTCAAGACAAAACAGGAACATGCTGTGGTTTGCACTGAAATTCCTCTTTGAAGCACTTCCTTTATTACTTTCTCGAGAATTTTGTCGTCTTGGTTCAAATTTTTAAAGTCTCCATACTAAATGCAATTTATTATTCATATATTATTTCCCTTATTTTCAGCTAAGAGCTGTCTAGACTGTGGAACAGATAAAGGCAGCCCATCCATAACAGAAGAGCTCTCCTATGATGTTTCTTTCTCAGAATCCATTACAGTCCTTCCGAAAACCCAAGAGTGGCCAAAAAACCAGAGGTTCAAAAAGGAAGACTCGGCTTTGCCAGTAAGTTTCTTCTCCATATATTTCCTTGATTGTTTTCTTTAACGCAGCAATTTCCTGTTTCATATCCCCAGCACAGTGGAGTCTGTTGAGATACATGATCTGGCCCTTGCAGTGTGTGCTTTGTAGAGACTTCTCTGGGTGCCTGCCTGCTGCCTGTGACTGATTCCCAAAGTTAATACAGATATCCAATCCAGGTTTTCATTTGTACCCATCATGAACATGTGCACCCAGAGGAGTATTTGTAACTCAGTCCTCAAATATTGCATCATCCACAATTTTTTCACCCAGAAATAAAAAACTGCTTATTGGCATTAAAACTAACAACCATTTTTGTTATCTGTCTGCTTTCCAACTTTTTTTCCCCACAGATTATCTGCCTTTCTTAACATGTGGATTTAAAATTGCTTTGCAGATGAAGGGAGGAAAGCAAACCTTGTTCCTGCAGCAGTACTAGCTGTTTCCAGTCAGTATTGAGTGTAAATCACACTATAGGAGAATCTACACAAATTGTTCAAGGAAAGTTTGCCGTATCATCCAACCAGACATGCACTGAGCAGTTGTGTCATTATCTGGAATTATGTCATGAAGTCATGGAAGTAAATTTTCTACTCACATCAGCCCTCACAACTGCCATCACTGAAAACTGGAGCATTAATGTGCTTCTGATACCACCTTTTCAGTGACATTTATGAAGTGGCTGTAAAGTATTTGGAAAAATTTCCTGGATGTTATGATGTCCTGAGGTCCCAAACTAATCTGAAATTGTTACAATCCACACAGACGTTGAATTATGTGAGAATTAGTCTGTTGTCCATCTCAGATTCCATCAAGGAAGAAGCTGAGATGCAGAAGTAAGCTTCTATGTTGAATGATAAGACACCATGTAGATTGCATAATTTATGTGAAATCCCTGTGTGGTTTTTTCTGTCTTTGGTTTTTTGGATTTTTGGGGGTTTTTTGGTGGGGATAACTTGGTGGTGACTAAGGGCATCTCTACACTCATCATGATTTTGGTCTTTACTACCAACATGCACACTCACGATACATTCTCTGCAACAGCACAGACAATTCCCAGTTGACGGAGCAGGGAAACTGATGACAAAAAGGGAAGAGAAGATGCCATATTGAATTATGTATCTGTGGATTCATAATTGATAAGCCTTAGAAAATGCCAGTATTGTGCTGGAGTTGAACTGCTCTGCATGCAGGACATAATTTTATGAGCTCAGAAGGCCACACAAGAAACATGCCAGGTCATTGCAGAGCATTTCTGAAAAAAATGGGCAATCATAGCTGTTGATGTTGGCCTTTCCCCTGCTTCATCTGCTGCTGCTCGTGGTGTTTGGTTCTATCCCATGGTGAACTCAGACTGTAATGGGCCTCAGCAGAAAAATCTCCTCTCACTCTGCTACCCTGAGCAGCCAGTCACCTACACACAGAAGGACAGTGGGGCTACACTGAAGGCAGTGGAACATCACACTTTCTCCAGGGTGTGCCTGACAACATAGCCAACTTCACTGATGGTGTGTACAGAGCTGCACAGATATTGGATATCATAAAATAGCTTGTCCCCTGCAGCAGGGAGTCCCCTGACTCCTACAAGAGTCAACTCAATATCCCCAGGAGCCTAGGGATTTCCCCAGAGTGCATGTGATTTCTCCAATGTGGGACCATGGTCCATGTGACTTGAGTTGAAGATACCACAGAAGTACAAGTTAGAGTACACTGCACAGAAACAACATTGCAAAACATCAGACGCAATCCTTAGCCAAAACATTGGTAATCTAATTTCAGGATAGCACAGCCTCCTTCAAACCTGCATATTACACCACTGTAAGAAAAACCACTGGAAAATTGTGACACAAGGCAGAGAAAGAGAGCCAGCCCCAAAGTTTGTATTAACCACAGCATCACATCACAGTGAACCCGAGGCGTCAAACAGCCACTGTGGAAAATCTTTGTAGTACCCTTTTTAATCAGTTTTGCAGTGCTTAGAATTTTTTCTCTTTCCCCCCAGAAAATATATGTATACAGTCTGGGGTTTTTTCCTTTTTTTTCAAGGTGATTTATTGCATTTCAACTGCTTTTTGCATCACTGGAATCAAAATGTGTAGATATTCTTTAGTATTTTGTGTTTCTTCAGAAGGCTAACTCTCATGCAGCTTTTGTTACTTTAAGTCTCAGAAAAAAGCTAACAGTGCATTCTAAGGAGGAATATTCTGGGCTAAAAATGCCCCAGGCAGCAAGTAAAAAAGTTATTCCATTCCCTACACTCTTTCTCCCCCAATTATTGTTAACCCCTATTGAAAGACCATATGCAGTGTAGTTTATGAAGTCCTAAGCTACATGATCTAGGTGTCCTTTGTACTCTCTTCCTTTTGAAATCTGGCGTAAGTTTAGGGTTTTTTGTTTACCTTTTTCTTAATCAGTTTGACTGGCTTAAATTAAAGATGGGTTAAATCTTTTGAGTCTAAATTTGTTTAAAAAAATGAAGGACTGAGCTGAAATCTCCAGAAACAAAACATTACTAGAGACTGGGTTTCCACTCAGTTCCCTAAAGGAATAAGATGATTTTGTAATACTGTTTATTTATGCCTCTTATTAACAATGCCTGGTTTAAATTTTAAAAAAAGTACAATACCAAAGATCCACAGTTCTTTGAAAAGCATGTTTTTTACCATGTTTTTTTACTATGAATTTTTTATTATGTCTAACAGTTATGTCAGAAACTGATGGGTGTTTGTTCTTCTTGACATTTGTACAAATGCATCTGTTATGACGCAACATTCCTGGCTCTGGTCCCTGACACTGCAGTTTCTAAAATATGTAGACATCTTCACATGCCCCCAAATTACTCAGTATCATTTAGTTTAAGTCTACTTGAATAAATTATTTGTTGGCTGCTGGGAGTCCTGCTTCTAAGCTTTCTTGAGTAATAAAAAATACCCCTAAGTTGGCAGGTTGGCTTCTGAACTAAGCAGTTTTGCTTCTGGGCTTTTCCTCAGATCTTCAGTTTGAACTCCCCTGTAAGACCTCATAAGTTAATAGCATTATGCAAAGCAGGCATGGATTCATTGCACACACACAGCTGATACAGAACCATATCCATGATTAACCATGCCAGCCACTTCAACAGCATTCAAAGATGTTTTGGGGAAGGCAGGAGCAGAGCAAAATGCTACATCCTGCAGAAACTGGGCAAAACTTTTAAAGAATCACATAACCTGTCTGTCCTAGCTGAAGTGCGGGCACTTCCCACTCAAGCTGCAAGGGTGCATGGTGAACAAGAAGCTCAGTTTTATGTTCAGGTGGATGCCAGCTGTGTCACCATGCCAGGCCAATCTACAGGGCTGTAGTTATCTCTTTATTGTTACCCACCTACCTGAATGTGACCTCCAGTCACATCCATGCATCTCTTTATAAACAAAAATTCACTCCCTGTAACTTTGGTGCAAATAAAGACACGACCCATCTCTGCTGTAGAAATTCATTGTTCGGAAGAGCCGCTTTGGGCTGACGGAGGTCGGGGACCTGTCTCCTGAGGACATGAAGAAGATCCGCTACCTCTCCCTGATCGAGCTCACGGCCTTCTACGACGCACTGGGTGTGGAGCTGAAGAGGAACCGCGTGGAGAGGGTGCGGGGACGAGGTACCGTGTGTGGCATCCCCTCTGCAGCTGCCTTCGTGTCCACCAGCTGTGGAAGAAGGTGCTTCCGAGGCTCTGTTTCCTGCTTTTCACATTTGTTGTTGTTATTTTTAAGAGAATGGTCTTTTTGGAGTCCCTCTCACCGTGCTGCTGGAGAATGACCAAAAGAAGGTTCCTGGAATAAAAGTGCCCCTTATCTTCCAAAAAGTGAGTATCACTTGGCCTGCTTGGTCACTAGGATTTGCTTTTCCACCATTTGCATTGACACTCGAAGGAGTCATCAGATCAGAGAAGTTTTAGACTTTCAGGTGTCTAGAGACTGTCTGACTGAATATTAAGGTTTGAAAACTTTGTGACAAGGAGAGAAAATCTGCTCTTTTTTTGGCTTTTTATCTCTGGTGGGGACCTTTTTTGATTTTTGTAATTATGTGATACCACACAGGAAAAAAATGTCTTTCTGTTTCCCTTTTTCATCAAAATAGAGAGCCAAGCAAAATTATGTGTGTGCAGAAGAGGCAGTTGTTGTTTCAGGAGTTTTCATTTCACATTAATTGAAACCATAGGTATTACTTAGCTACTGTTTCCAGAATGGAAGTGATATCTTCTGATTGAGGTTTTTATGACAAGACAGTGGTATTTAAAAGAGACATTTGGCCGCACAAGGATACCCTGGGGATGTCTTGGAGGCAGGAACACCGACACAATTACCTGTGCAGTTGCACAGATTTACATAGACTCAAAATGGCAACAGATTTCATTATAAATACTGACAAAAGAAGTGTTGAGGAGTGTCAGACTGACACAACTTGAACATTTACATGACTTTGTGATTAGGTCCACTGCTGCCCTGTCAAGATAACTATGGAAATCAGAAGAATCAAGGTTAGGGCAGGAAGCAGATCTGGTGGTGAAAGTCCAGAGCTGTATGATTAAATGCTGGAATTTTTATTATTTTCCTTAGTGTTCAAAATTAAATAAAATCAAAGTTTTTTTTTTTTTTTTTAATAACCAATTGGAGTGGAAAGTTTAGTCCTCTATTCACAGAAATTTGAAAATAAAATATCCTGGGATCTTTTTCTAATCAGAGTTCTCAGTTCCAAAAACCTATGTTATCTATAGACCTTTCCCTTGTGCCCCTTGGGCCACACTTAAACATTCCTCAGAGGTTATTTTTCCTTCAAAACACCATTGTGTTTAAACATATCTGCTGTTTTATTAATATATTTATGTGTTAATTGTTCTATAGCAGTGCCAACTCTCAAGTCAAGGACAGAGGGGCCTATTGCATTAGCAGTTTTCTATACTCTGCATACTCCTTACTTCAGGATCGAGGCTATGGAGACAAATTAGGCAGATTTATTTATATGAACTGGCTGGATCTCATTAGCTGGTTCCATAGAAATGTATATTTTTCAGATTCGTTTCAAGGACACCTAGGTTGAAAAGAAAGTCAGGAGTATTCTTAAGCACTTCTGAGTAGTTTCCTGGATTTTTTTGTCTCTTCTTTCAGCTGCTGCTCAAGCTTGAGGAAACAGGTTTGGAAACTGAAGGAATTCTACGGGTTCCTGGATCTGCCTCCAGAGTCAAGGTACACATTCAAGCCAGTTTTCTGTCTTCTGGACCACAGACTATGTAAAATAATACAGCATACACACAAATTCAGACTGCACATAAATACAGATCACATAAATGCTGATCTGTGTAGCTCAGCATTCCTACTCCTGCCAGTGAAAGGTCAGGTTAGTTCCTGGGAACCAATAAATCACAGACCATTTGGTCTATTACTTTGATTTAGTTAATGTTCTATATAAAGCATAGAGGATGTTGAATGTGATTTTTCTCCACAAAACTTGGAGACATCCTTTCAGTTTATCTCTGTCATCCAAAATTGCTGTGATCTTATCTCTGTTTTAATTTATTTCAGAAATGCAGAGTCCCTAAACTGAGTGAACATCAGATAAAGATCTTATTCTCTGTCATTTTAACCTCTGTGTCATTTTATTTTCCATTTATCGTCTGTGATCTCGCAATTTCATGATCCAAGTGAGACAAATTTGGCCTCTGTTCACTGCTGGCAGCCTGTACTGCATTTTCACAGGCTATTTGTGGGCTATGAACACAGTATAATTGGCACCCAATAACCTGACACTCTGGGCCAGTAATATTTGCAATTGTTTCTCCAGACCAACTTCATTCCAGGAGCTGGAGGAGGCAAATTAGAAAAACAAGAAACTTTTTTGGTTGGTTGAGCTTTTTTCTGGCCTTAGTAGGGTCTATCTCTTTCCCAGATTTTTGCTTTTTTTCTTTTTTTTTCCTTTTCCCTTAGGCTTCTTTTTTATCTGGTTTAAGCAACACTTTACAGTGCATCCTACTCCCACTTTTTCAGCTAATTTTGTGTTTTGAGGCAAGAAGTCTTAAGATTGTGGCAGCCACACAAATGATGGGGATTGCTAAACAATTGGATGGGCTGAGGACCATAAAAAATGGCTGAATAAGAAGAAGCAGCATTACATGAAACACACCAAAGTTAGGCAGCAGCATCCCAGCTCCTTCAACTCCATGCACTGATAAAAGTCACCGAAGCCTTGAAAAGTGCCACATCTTGCAGAAGGGAGCTCCTAACTTGCCCTGTACTTTTCAGCTTCCTCACTTTTTCATACAAATGATTGAATGTTATTTCACACAATCTCAAATTTTTCCAGTCTTTCCATGGAGATTACACAGCAGGGCTGTGCTCTAATTCAATTATTTTCATATTCTTTGCATACACTGCACTGTGTCTGGTTCACTTCTTTTTCACAACCTGTGTCCTGGGAGCTGCTATGAGCTATAACTTCATATGCAACTCCTCCATACTAGGTGGTAAGTTAAACTGCCCATATAAAAGTTTTTAAATTATTTGAGTTTTGGTTTCATTTGAGTATGCCCAACAAACCGGTGAGCAAGAGAGAGATTTTTTCAAAGCAGATCCAGATTTCATCCTTCAAAAACCTTCATACATTATTATGACATTAGGACCTAAGGGCATTCCAACTTTATTTCAGTCTTGTTTGGAGTAACAAAAGGCATATGGAAATGATTAAAGGTTGCTCTTCTATGAAACAAAGACTAGAAGTGAATACAAGTTTTCCTCTGTAACAAAAGCTGCAGTGAACCGAAACTGTATGATAGTCTAGTGAAGGATCAGTCATGTTAAAAAAAATTGTAGCACATATTTTAAAAATATTAGATGCAACAGAGATACATGTATACAAGGCCGGGGAGGGAGGGAATTGAGTGTATAAAATACATCCTTACCCGTGTGGAGATTATATATATATATATATATATATATATATAACTATATGTATATATATATAAAATGTTTATGTTTCCAAAATCTTGCATTCTGTATTTGTGACTTTTTCCCAGTTCTCAGCAGAAAAATGTGGAGTAGAATTCTGTCCTCTTGTGCTTTTGATGAGGTGAGGATTTCTGTTCCACATTTCCAGTGAGCTACAGGAGAGAATTCAGTCTAGGTGTTTGTATTGATTATGTGCAAAGGATGTGAATACAGAGGAAGCTGAGATAGCCCAGATTAAAACCAGTAAAATGTGCTAGTCAAAATGAGACTGTAGCATTTTATGCCAAATCCTGAACGACTTTCTACTTCCGTTCGTGCAGCCATTCTACTTCATTATGTGTGACTGTACTTGATATGTAATTTCCTTCCATTCATGTGAGACGTGGCAAGCAGAATTCATTTCTAAAAGCTTTTCTGCCTGAATGGACTGAACTTTTTGCATAATATTAAAGTACAACTGACAAAATCATGATCCAAAATCAAATATTTGCTAGAGATATATTTTGTCATAAATGGTCTCATAAAAAGCAGCAACAAATTTCCTATGGATAGGACAGTGTTTGGCCAGTAATAATTGTGAAAGCAGCATTATTTATGGACATCCTTATGTTAAAATACTGTCCTTCAATCTTTTTAACTCAACAATTTTTTGAGGAGCTTGCAATTTTTTGAATGATGATCTGGGTTTGAAGCCAAATCTTGTTCCTGGTAGGAGCCTTGCTGAGTATTTCCCTTTCACATACGTGTTTTGAACACTGGCTAGTGACCTTCCAGAATTTAACTGACCTCTGTTATGGAGCAGGATGCTGCCATTGTGGAACAAGGGGATTAAATGGGAACCCAAAATGGTATCATCATCAATTCTATCTTAAACCTCTCCTGTGTTTTTAGAGGTTTGGGAGGAGGGGGTTTATGCATTAAGGTTTTTTCTGAAAGTAAGTAATGGTTTTGAATCTTTATTTTTCTACAGTCTGACCAAATCTAACTATAATTATCCTAACATAAAACTTCCTTTCTAAGATGGGAAGACCTGAATTTTAAGCCATTTGCTCAAGGCTCATGGATTCAGAGTATCTAGCAAGTTCACTGGCTTTGAGGAAGAAACACCACTCCTTTGTGACTTAAGGGTCAAAACCTCTGGAGAGTGTTTTAAACAAAATAACTCAGTTAGCTGTGCTGAGTTTACTGCTTCTGGTTCTAAGGCAGTGGACAAAATGCCTTGCTTAAGGTGGTTCGAATTTGCAGAAGTCTAGCTATAGCAAACTAAATGTAGCCTGGGTTGCCAAATATCTTCAGGAACTTAACTTGTTAACCTGCTCTGAGCTCCACATGGCTGTCACTGGGTTAGGGCTGCTTTAGTTCAAGTGCTGCACAAACCTGTCTGCTGCTTGTAATGGGCTTTCTGAAGTGATCACAAATTGCTGGATCAGCAGCAATGATTGAAGGCCAAATGTTTCTTTTATTTTTCAGAATCTCCATCAAGAACTTGAGGCAAAGTTTTATGAAGACACTTTTGACTGGGACCAAGTACGAAATAATGATGCAGCAGGACTGCTAAAAATGTTTATAAGAGAACTCCCCAGCCCACTCTTCACAGTAGAATATCTGCCTGCATTCATCACACTCGTGGAAAGTATGTGGAAATGGATTTATTATGGACTGATAATATGATAAAATGCAAGTGTAGACATTACTTTTTTTTCTCTCTCTGAAGTATATAGCGAAAAGTCATGTAATTTTTTTCTCCCTCTGAAGAATAGAGAAAAACAGACCCAGTGCTTTGCCTAAACGTTTTCATTTTCTGCCAAGTTTTGTTTTCAAATGAGAAAGGTGTCTGCATTCAGCTAATAGCACAGGCTTGTTATGTGAACAAAACAACTGTTTAATGTAAAATTTGGAAACTGTGAGTAAACTGAGTAATGACTTTCATGTATAGACTCTGATTCACATTAACTGTAGGTTTTACAAATGAAAATTTCTGCAAGGCAAACTCAAATCACTGTCCTTTATCTACTGGACTTACTGAACCTATTTTATTTCTGTTAAAGTTAATGTTGAGGTCAGAACAGAGGTCAGAGATATGTGTGAGCACAGAAAGGTTCAGGCAGCTGGGCTTTGTTTCCAGTGTACATACACCCTCTCAATCTCAGTACATTTTGTTCATTTCTCTTCCGGGAAGAATGCAATTGTACCTTGCCGTACCTATGACTTCCCTGTAAAGTCACTCAAGCTAGGACAGACTGAAAGTCTCAGGATGATGAGTTTATTAGCAAATTGGTACAGAAAACTTTACATAAGGTTACAGCCACCCTTTCAGTGTCTCCATGAGTAGCTTAAAGGGCAGAAGGAGGTGACCTCTCTCCATAAACTTCACATACCTGAGTGTGTGTGGACTCTTTATGAGTCCCAGGCTGCATGCAGTTACAGTGGCTCAGCAGTTTGGACAAGACTGAGCAGGAGATGTCTGTGCAGAATAAAGTGACCTTATTCCCTACAACAAATACACAGATACCCAAGAGAAACTAGCTAGTACTAAAAAATACTGGATTGTTACTATGTAGATAGAATTTTATAGCGCCTTTGTGTCCCCGTGTAACAAAGATCCAAGATGATGAGAAAAAAGCCACTTATTAAGGTGATATTTTATTTTATGGTTAATCAACACCTAAGCATGCTAGTCTTGACCAGGCACTAGCTGGTATGTCTAGAACTTCTGACACACAAGGTTTTTAGAACAAACCAATTGCAGTTGGGTTTTCAAAAGCATTAATTATTCATGTCCTTAGAAATCTCCAAGATCAAGTTACAGCTACAAGCTTTGCATCTGTTGATCATGCTGATGCCTGAAGCCAACAGAGACACAGCCAAGGTAAGTTCTTCATTTGTAATCACCTGCCATCTGTGGTGCTTTTGACCTTTAAGTGAAAGACTCATTTTTTTCAGATGCTACACTAGGAAATATTCATCTGTGTTTTTGATTATTTCCCTGAAAAGATGTTCAAATTTCCTGGCTGTCATTTCTTTTACAAGCAATTAAGAAATAGTTGCTGGAGGTATCCACCTGCTGGATCTCAGACATCATTATTATGGAGCACTCATTTCAAAGAGGCATATTCCTCACGTAGTTTGGACAGAGGAGGTCTAGTTTCTGGATTTTCTGTATAACTGAAATTCTCCAGGATGAATTTAAAAGAGAAGCTGCCCTGTAGGAGCTTGCCTAGTGCACTCCTGGTACTGGAAGGGCTTTCAGGTCACTGGGCCAGACTGCAGCATGTAGTGCAAAGTAAAAGCATTCATCTGCAGCACAGATGTCAGGAGCTCACCCTCAGCTGGCTTGCCTTACAAACCCATGCCACCACCATGTCCTGCTTCCTGATACAAACACAGTGGCTACAAGCATTTTGGATGCTTGGGAGCTCCCATGTCTGACTGCAGCTGTGTCCTGACCCTAAGAGACGCTGATTGCATCTTTGGGCCTGTTTCCACATCAAGGAAACCTGAGTGAACAAGCTTCCTGGGAACCTCCAGACATTTCACCAGGTCCCCTGCTCATCAGGACCATGCAGGTCTCCCACCTCTGAAAGCCTTTCACTAGTCAGTTTAGATACAACCTTGTGAGTTCAGCTGCCTTCTTTACCTGAATTTATTTATACAGTAACAAGGGACAAGACCAACAAATGTCTTCAAAGTACCTGGAGGTCTGCTAGTGCTCTGTAAAGAATGGGGGCTATTTCTGTTACCAAAATTCATTTGAGTATAGAGCTGCATATGTAAAACACATGCTAGAGGAGTACCCTTAATTATTACTCTATTATTAATTATGCTTCTGTACAAAAATATATGTGATGATGAAACTCTGCAAATTTCCACTCTCTAATGAGGTTTTAGAAACTTCTCCAGCAGAGTTTCTGTTTTGTAATTCTTGGGTTTGTAAAAATGTCTTAATTGCTGTGTCAGGGTACAAAGACAGTGTTTTAATGGTATGCTTTTCATGGTTTAACCAAGAGGCAGCTAATATCTGTCATGGTTTAACCCTAGCCAGCAACCAAGCACATGCAGCTCCTCTCTCCCTCCCTCATCAGTAAGATGAAGGAGAGAATAAGTGTAAAAGCTGGAAAATTAATGACTTGAGATAAGTGTAATTTAATAGGAAAACAAAGGCTGTTATGAAAGCAGAGCAAACAAAGGAACTCACCACTTCCCATGGGCAGGCAGGTGTTCAGCCATCACCAGGGGAGCAGGGCTTGATCTCATTCATGTTGGGAAGACAAATGCCATCACTCCAAAAGTCCCCCCCCCTTCCTTCATCTTCCTACCACCTTTTTACACTGAGCATGATGTCCCATGGTCTGGAATATGGTCACCTGTCCTGGCCATGTTTCCTCCTGATTTCTCATGCATCTCAGCAATGTGGCAGTATGAAAATCAGAAGAGGCCTTGGCTCTAAGCAAGTCCTAATCAGCAGTAACAAGAAAAATCTATATTATAAACACTGTGTTCAGCAAAAGTCCCAAACATAACCCCATACCAGTTAGTGTGAAGAAAATTAACTCTACTCCATCTAAAGCCAGCACACACAGCCATTCCTTCTTTCCTCCCTCCTCCCAGTGGGATGGGTGAGAAAATCTGAAAAAAAAAGTGAAATTAATGGGTTGAGACAATAACAGTTTATTAGGACAGAAATAAATGGGAAAATAATAATGATTAATTAATTAGAACACACAAAACAAGTGGTGCACAAAGCAGTATTTCACCACTCACTGACTGATGCCCAGCCAGTTCTTGAGTAGTGGGTCAAGACCAGTTTTCCCCACAGTTTAGATACTGAGCACAATGCCATGCAGTATGGAATATCCCTTGGGAGTCAGCTGGCCAGACTGTGTCCCCTCCCAAGTCCCTGTGCAGCCCCAGCCTCCTTTCTGGCAGTACAGCATGAGAAGCTGAAGATTACACTTGACTAAGTGTAAACACTGCTTAGCAACACCTAAAACATCAGTGTGTTATCAACATTATTCTTATCCTAAATCCAAAACACAGCCCTTTACCAGATACAAGGAAGAAAATTAACTCTATCCCAGCCTGAAACCAGAACAATATTGCAGAAGGACTCATTGGTAGACCCCAACTCTAACCACAGCTGCAGTCTGTGCTATTTAATCATTCAAGTAAAATTCTGAATAAACTACCCAAAAGGGGAAATTACTTTCCTTGGACTCCGCCGGGCATGTGCAGAAGTAACATCAATGGACAACCACTTAGCTCTTCTTGCTTTTGTTATCCCAGAATAAAAGTTTGAGGGTTGCTGGCAGAAATTTCAGGTTGTATTGCATGTAGGAATGGTGCAGATTTGGAGAGACTAATCACCCCAAGTGACTGTGACATAAAAAGCATTGGTTAGATGCATCAAAATGGACACTTGGTAATCTATGAAGAAAGTAACTATTCCCTTGCAATACATGTACATCTTACCTCTAGTATAGGATTCAGAGCCTTACTGTGGACACTGTATTTGCCTTATAAATTTGGGATTATGGTCTAAGTGATAGATAATTTATTAATGTGTGTTTTGATAACATAAACTATTCCTCTGTGTTTGACACAGGTTGTTGTAACAAATATCAGAGTAATCCAAATACTGTGGAAAAACCACTAAATTTCACTTCCAAGTGCAAATATGACAGCCAGACTTGTGCATTTGAAATGCTGCATTTCAAAAGTAAATTATTTCCTGAGATTAAACAAGTACTGTTTTCTTCCAGGCCTTTCTTCAGTTCCTGAAGAAGGTGGTTGCTAATGAAGGGAAAAACAAGATGAGCTTGTGGAACGTGTCTATGATTGTTGCACCAAACCTCTTCATCTACAAAGGGAAACACGCAAACCAACAGGAAATGCAAGCAGCCGCCACCACCGCGCACATTGTGCGGCTTCTGATCCGGTACCAGGACATCCTGTGGACTGTGAGTACTGCTGGTTCCCCCTTGATGGTCCCATCTCAGTGCAGGACATGTGCAGAAATCAGAATAAACCCACCTTCCAAGGAGAAACAGTTTCTTTGGAAACTGACTGGAGTCTTCCATGTCTAGAATGAGGCACCCTGGCAGATTTTTCTGGATTGAAAAATTACTTACTACCTTACTTATCTAAGACATCTATTTTAGCTTCAGTTGCCTTCTGGAATTGTTTATACAGTGATGCATAGAAGAATGATTTAATCAGGATGTGTAGGTGATACATCTAAACTTGAATATGATTAGATGTCTGTTTAAAGTCTACCCCACAATAAAATGGGACAAAAGTGTGTACAACTTTTTGGGCTTCTGAAGGTTGGCCCAAAGATATTGACAGTCTCAGCTTATTTGCTCATAACAGAGGGAGAGTATAATGGGGGTTGCAAAGACTACCTCCTAATAAAGCTCCTGCAGCTGCAAACATCACTTTAAAGTTTCATATGGCGTGAAAGACAATCTACAGTTTCACCAAAGGATAACTGTAGGTTGTTAGAGGAAGTTACTGATTGCATGTATCTTCTAGGAATAAACAGAGTTTCTGCTGCCTAAAATTCGGTGCCCTTCTAAAAATGCAACACAATTGGGAAAAATTACTGTATATTCTCAGATCTGGTTTCCTCCTCCTAGGTCCCATCCTTCCTGATTTCCCAAGTGAGAAAAATGAATGAGGCAGCCATGAACAACAGCAAGAGACAGCTGATGTTTGACAAAGGAGTGAGAAAACTTTTGAGGAGAAAGACCATGGAACGGGAGAGACCTGAAAGACCAGAGGTGTGATAAAAAGATCAGGTTTCAGAGCAGCTTAAACAGCCTACCTCCTTTATCTCATGAAAGATTCTAGGTGTGGAGAGGAAATTTTGCCATACAAAATAAGCTGATTTGAGAATTGTCTTGAAAGGTGTGCATCCCAGTCTAACACTCCAATAAGACAAAGTTTTGGGACTTGATTGAGAAGAGGTAAGGAAGGCAGAATGATTTCCAGCAGCCAAAGCTGCCAAGCTGGTTTTCAACCTGTTCCATAAGAAATAGTTATATGTGGACTGTCCCTGGCAGCAGTGATTTGTAGATATTCAACAAATGCATGGATCTGTTGCTGAATAGAGTGATGAATAGAGTAGAGTGATCCATATTAGGATTAATTGCATTTATCCATGTCCTGGTACAGGCCACTTGATACTCTTCTTGCAAGATTTAGTCTTACAGCTTGCACTAACTTTGTCAGCAGAGAGAAAGTTCAGTCTGCCTATCATAGACACCTAAACTGTGCCTAAATGTGCTCTGTGAAGTAGATTGTATTGTTATTTCCTGTATAGTCAGAGGAGAGAGGTGGACACTTTTGAGGATTTCCAGGGCTCCAGTAGCAGTTTGGACTTAAAGAAAATCTGATAGAAAAACCTTTCTTTGAAGGTCTTAAAGCCACCAATTTTAATCTACTGCCTAGAAACTTACTTGGAGGATCCTGCTTTGATACGCAACTAAAACTATCTTACATATTAAGTACAACATAAATTTGGGCAACAAGACATATCATGTCTCTGTGCACAACCTACACAGTCCCTATAGCAACTTACATGTATTTCCATGTAGTAACTAGTAACCTGGAGAAGGGAGTATTTAGAGTCTTCCATGAAGACTCCTTTACAGAAGGAAGGCTGGTGAATTATAAGAGAAGTAATCAAGGAAATGGTGAAGAACTCTGTAGTTGTTGAAGAATAGTCTTGAAGAACAAAAGAAAAGACAAATTAGGAAGGAATGATATCACAAGGTTATGAGAACTAGAGAATGAGCCACTATTACAGGCAGGAGAGAAAATGCAGAAGGTAATGTATGGGGGGAAATGTAGAAAGATAAATGTTAAGTATGAATGGTGAATACATTCTAATTCACCTTTCTCAAGAATTTGCCAGCACTGACTGAAGTATTTTAGGTAGGGTAGGACATACATTGGTGCTCCAGATGGAGACAGAGATGTTTGTTTAAAATGGCAGTGTAGGCTACTGCGCTGCAAAGTTAATTTCAGCGTGGGATGAACACAGATAGACTCCTTCTCTGAGGAGAGTCCATTACTGAAGTCATTGCACCTTTGGGAAGACAAGTCCATTGATCAGAGTAATTGGCTTTACATCTAATAAAAATGAGGGTAGCCATGGCAAGGAGCTGAAATATGAAGGGTAAATTGGAGGCAGACTCTGTTTGGATAACTGAGTTTAATGTTGAGAGCACTTAACGCAATCCCCAGGTCTCAGATGTTCTAAATTACACAGAGACAGAGACTGGAGAGACTATTGTGTTCTGGTCAGCATGGTATTAACTGGATTAGGACTGGAATGCAAACCTTGCTAATTGATTTATCCACCATTAATCATGGAAGAGTGCATAAACTTCATAGATGATCATTTGAACCCTACACAAGGTCAAATTTCAAATTAACAGAAACCATATGGTACTTGATGTTTTACTGTACACACACTTCAATCTGATTGAAGTTATAGGAAGCAGAAACAGAGAACTGAATTTTTATGCCTCAGGAGAATTTCATCTTTAGAAGGAAAACCAGATATTCTTAATAATTTTTATGTTTTTAAATAAGCATCTGGTTCACTGACCACTGTTAACAGAAATAAGTTAAAGTTACAATTCAAGGGCTTTACCCTGTGTGCATTTATGTGCTACTTACCAAAGAGTTTGTGTCTTTGTGTTGTATCTGATTTGTGTCCACGAATTTGCATTTGTATGACTGTAAATGTCTTTTGAATAGCCAAGAGAATGCATGACAGTGAATTTTGCAGGCAACCTCAAATGAGGTTGCAGAACAGCTTCCAAATTGAGCTAGAGCAATATTTGCCTTATACTTACTCTATTGAATATTGATTTTAGGGAGCTGTCACTTTCCCTCCATACTTGCAGTCTGACATACCCGAGGGGGTGATAAGAGTTTATGCTCCACTGCATTCAAAAGTCTCTATGGCAATTCAACTCAACAGCCAAACAAAAGCCAAAGACATCCTGGCTCGATTCCACTGTGAAAACAGGTGGGTAAAGCAGAACATTCTGTTTTTCCTGAATAACAATGTCAGAACTATAAATGAATCGATTCCTCCCTCTTCAAAGATTCATTGTGTTACAATAACTCTTTTTCTAATCTAAAATTGCTAATTTATGGTTATGTCAATCAAAGAAATTTTAACCACTTATCTTACTCTTTTTTATTCTACTTAATAACTGGCTCCTATACAGAGTCAATCTGCCCTCCCTTATACCACTAATAAAAATGTACATTAAACGTATATTTTATAGACTTGCCACACAGAGAACCCAAAGGGATTGTTTTACATCTCTCCATAAGTCTAGAATGTTTTTATTTCTGTAAGGTAATAATTATTAACAGCTATGGGAAATGGTAAATTGTGTCTGAAAGTCTTTTCTGCAAAGTCTTCCCATGTTACCACATAATTCTGTTGTTTGAATAAATAATATAAAATTAATAATGCAGAAGGTTTGGTTGATTGTGATGCAGTAATCTACCTCTGTGGCAGATTCATTATTCTGTAGTGGTCCATTTGGTAGAAGTTGTTGGTTTTAATACGGCAGTTCACAGGGGAAAAAATATCAAACTTTAGTTTACCATAGATGGTAGATGATGAGGCAGTGGTTATAACAGAAGGACAAACTAAAAGGTTTTTTTTCTATCCTAGCCGTGGATCATCACAGAATGTGAGAGGCCAGATCCAAAGTTTACATGAAATTGGAGGAAATATAGGTAGGTCTCAATTTTGAAAACTAATTCTTAATGTCCTTAACCTCCTAAAATACCTCAGGCCAGCAATGTTTTGACACAGCTGTGTCTCTCCTACCCTCCAGTCCATTTGGAGGAAAGGAGCCTGACCCAGAAGCGGTTAGAATCCATGTCATCATTTACTCCAACTCCAGAGTGACAGGAGGGGTACCCCAAGAGAGAACAAACCCGACGGCTGGATCTCAGCAGCACTTCTTACAGTCTTGCCACATTCATCTGACCTCTTGCTTTTACCTCTCTCACTCTCCTAACTGAGCATTTTTCCATGGTTAAGAGATCCTTAGTCTTCCTCTTGCAAGCGCATTCCACCTTGCTGTCAAGCATTTTTCCAAGATCTCTTTCTTTCTTACTGTATGCAAGTGTTAACCTCCCTCAAATAAAGACTCACAGAAATGTGAATTCAGCCCCTGCACGTATAGGTGTTCTGTACTCGCATTAATCTGTGTGCTTTATTTAGATTGCAAATTCCTTGCAATAGAGTTTTTGTCCTCAGTTTCATGCAGTTTCATACCTCTTACAATAACAACAGTGGCCTAAAAGTTTCTGGCCTAAGGGTTAAAAAACATGTTTTAATTTGTTTAAAACTAAACAAATTAATTTTGCTTAATTATTACACAATCCTTTCTCTTCTTATTCTCTCCTTTCTCTGTTCATGCCAAAGTTCTGGATGCTGTGTTGGAGTCAGTTGTGAATTACCTGATTAGATCATTCCTTATTTCTTCTAGATTCAGCTCTAAAGACTTACTGTAAAGTTACTACAAAACATCACAGACTTACTTCAGCAGCAATCAGGAATCAGCCTTTATTACTCATGATAACAAAAAACTAAATTGGATTAGTGATTTGTTTTGCCTGTCCAAACACGATGACCAACTGATGCCAAAACAGAAAAATTATCCTAAAGACTTTGTGAAACAATCCTAAATATTCCTACCATGATCTTCCAAAAAATTGGGACATTTAATTTGCATCTTCATTTAAAATCATTTTTATAGTCCTAGATCCTTCAGGGTACCTTAGTCCGCTGATTATGCATTAATTCATTTATATTGCTTTCACTTGAATAAAATCATTGGGACCCCAGTGACCTCACAAGTAACCGTACAAAAATTTTACCATAATCTTGTGTCACAGCAAAGTAACCTTACCAGTGAAATTACTTCATTACCCCATGTAAATGCAATATAGTCCAACAAATCAACCTAACTCTAGAATTTATTGCCTTATTACTCAACTAAGAGGCACAAAATCCTCATTCAGGCAAAGGCAGCCACAACTTCCCAATCACCAGCTAATGAAACAGCCAGAGTGCAACGGATTTTTTTTTAACTAGCAAATTGGCAACTCCCAAAAACCTTGTTAAGAGTCCCTGTATTTCTCTCCAAGATCCTACTGTATGGAAACACATTGTTTACAGAGCTACTTTTTCATCATTTAAAAATAGTGTAGAAGTCAGAGAGTTGTAATTGCAGCTCAGTAAATCCAAAGAAATAAAACCCCCCATACTGCAGCACTAACAGTGTTGTTGATGCTTCTGAAGAGCCATATTCACTGTTTGACTAAATGTCTTATCCATTACTCAGTGTAATGCAGGACATCCTGCCTGGAAGTGGCAGTAAATTCGTGACTGTCAGAGTAAAATCACTGGCAAATTTACCAAAGGCCCTCTCTGTATCCAGGCAAGATGTTAGCTGGATGGACACACCAAACTGGGCTTGCTGTGTGCAGGTCAGAGAAACTTTCAAGGACTTTTTAACACAGCTCTGTCCCTGTGTGCTCAGAACGTCTTATGATTCATGGCTGACAATTTCCTTTCCAGGTCAGCACTGTTTGGATCCAGATGCGTTCATGCTAGATGTCTACCGTGCAAATCCTCAGGCAGAATGGGTGATAAAACCAAAAGCCAGCTGAAGCAGAAGGCAGCAGTATACTGGACAAAAGCCACATGGACAAGAGTGATGCCTGTCATTTTAAGCAGCTCTTGCAGAGACATAACAAAATGGTATCCACAGGACATCATTCCTTCCTACTGTACTGTCCAGCTGATGGTCAGCACATAGGACTTTTGGTATTCCAGTTTCCAAACCATTGGAAAAATATCACATTAGTTATGCTTCCATATGGATTACACTTGTGCCAGTTGGCCCAGGAGGTGAGGAGGGCAGGCCAAGGTACGGTGTTCGTTTCCTGACCGGGTGTTAGAACAATTTTTGGAAATAACGCAGTGGCATCAGATGAATGAAACACTACTGACCACAGCATGACACAGGAGCATGACAGACCTTGGAGCTGGGGAGGTGTCTGTCAGGCATGGAAGGTGGGAGTTCAGCATGCAGCAATGCCAAGACAGCTGTGTGGAAACCAAACCTTTCTCCTGGAAGTGAACCCATACAGTGTGTGTTACTGCGGTGCTTGTGTCTCCCAGTCACTCCTCGTGAGTACCTGATGCTGGGAGAGGGAGGCAGGAGGAGGAACTACAGACAGCTGTACTGCTCAGTGTACATACCACTGTGTATCTCACTGCCAGTCTTCCAAAATCATCTGTCTGAATCCCTCAGCTGTGTGCACTTGTAATGGCCCAAACCACGCTCCCCTCCCTTCCCCTGTCACACAAGTTTCAGGAGAAAAAGGCTGTGTGAGGAGGAGCATATGCCCCTAGCTCTGCCTTTTACTTGATACTCTCAGAATTAAATCTGTGTAATGCCACACTATGAGATGTGTTAATGGTGCCACTTACAGTCATCACCTTTTTTTGTTAAACATTATCATTTCCAATTTGTAACCTAATTTTATTTTGTTTATTTTAGCTTTAATATGTAAGCAATTTTTATACTCTTCAGCTGCATCAACAAGAGAGATCTTTGTTCAGGTCTTGTATAATACAGCATGGAGAACAAACAGGGCTTCCAATGAGAAAAGGGATTTAATAATTTACACATTAGGTCTTTAAAACTGTAGCCAGTCTAGGCCCAGTTGTGCTGGGGGTTTTACAAATGCACAGCAAATTGCAGCTGGCATGCAGTCTAAGCAAACACACAGGCTGACAAGAGAATAGTGGGCTGCCACTGAATTGGGAATGTCAGATGGGCTGTCTTGTTTGGAGCTAGTCACAAGAACAAGCAGTGTTCAGTCATCCCACTTAGGGCTGTGCCGAACTAAAGAGGTTTGTTGAGTAAGGAAATCACAAATCTCTGGAAAAGAGAAAGTATATTTTATTTGTGTCATATGCAAAAAGCGGGAACCAAGTGGGAACCAATGCCTTCAACTGCACTGCAATGTCCCCATCATTGTTGCACAGTGAAACCACCCCCAGCCTGAGCAATGATTTTTGTTCCTGATCTGGACACAGGGATGAGGCAGAAGCTCTGTTTATTACATAGCAACTTAAAAGCACTCTGAACCAAGTCCTCCAGGTGAACTGGAGGTGAATAAAGTCTGCTGTCCTGCAGAGAAAGCGTGTAACTTGTGATGCTCTGCTGAAGCTGTGCAATGAGTATCTGAACCAGAAGCAGACCCTCTAAAATGTGTCAAGTTTATCGTGTTCTCCAGTAGTTAACTTTCATTGCTAGTGGTCAGTGAAAGAAATCAACATTGAATCAGTAACTTCACCACCAACAATAATGTCTACAGAGGGCAGATCCTGTCTTCTTTCTTATCTTCTTGATAAAATTGATGAAAAATTAGCAACATTTTCTTTAGAACAGTGACTTTTTTAACTTTCTGGTTGTTTTGGCGCATTTTTTTTTGTTTTTTTTTTTTTTTTTGTTTTGTTTGGGGTCGGGGTTTTTTGGGGTTTTTTGTAGGTTTTTGTTGTTCTTGTTTGTTTGGGTTTTTTTGTTTTGTTTTTCCTTTTTCTTCTTAACACTAAAGGAGATGCAGTTGCAACCAGAAAAAAAAAACAGGATAATTGTATTATAAAATACACTCCTTATTTTGAAAACTATTTATTTTACGTATACAAGAGATAGTCGGTCTGTGGCTTGTTTATAGGCCTAAGCATAAAAGTTTTGTCTTGTGCTTTGCTCCTGATACCCTTTAGTTCCCACTGCGGCAATGGACAGCTCTTGGTGCTTATGCTGCCCTTGAACGTCAGCTGTAAAGCAGGTTTTGTACTTTCCATATAAAGGCAACATGAGAATTAGTTGAGTTAAATTCTACTCTCAGATGTAGCCAAGCAATTCCCTGAGCAGATCAGGAGTAATGAACCTCCATCTGGAAAGAACAAACTCAGCAAAGACTTTGTATGTGGAAAGTGCTTCAAATATAAAGAGAATCTGATAAATGCTAAGCATTGTTGTATCTATAGCCAACTAAAAGGTATTCTGCAACTATACAGAAAGCCTAAACTTTAAGAAAGTAATTTGGAGTGTCATAGCAAATGAGCTAACTTCCTACAATACTTTCAGACAAATACATTGACCTCCCCCATCTTGCCCACTCACTTCACTCTGTGTTCTCAATGGCTGTGCAAGGGAAAGGACAGAGCAGCCCTGTGTTCATGCTGCAACTCGCTCAGCATGTTCTGGACCTCATCAATGTTATTTATATTTCAAATAGATCTCCCTGCATTCTGTATAGAATACCAGGGCATTTTGAAGACTTTTACCACTTCACAACTTAGGAAAGTCAAATACAATGTCATAAAATCCACCCTGTGAGCTCTTGTTTTATGCTGAAACTGCCTATAACTTTGTAAGACATGCATATTAGCAGATGAACTAGATTCTACATAGAGTGGCCAAATACCTCCTGCCTCTGAAAAAGAATGTCAGGATTCTCTTTTGATACAAATGGCCCTAATGACCCATGTGTAGTGGTTAATACTGTTCCACATTAAGTTGTTTTGTATTGTTTTGGTACACTAACTTGATTTAATATGCAGCAGACAAATGAAACAAGCTCAATGGCATTTTGAAATATGAGGTTTCTTTAGGACTTGTATTTCAAGATGCTGGTGGAGGCATGAGGAATTTTGTTTCTCCTAACAGAAGCTGAAGTACAAACTAAGTTGCAAGAGGATTGTCACCTAAAGAAAAGTAACATATGTGGAAAGCTATTAGTAAGAAAGTGGTAGCAAGCAAAGAGAAATTACTGAAATTCCAAAGATGCCTCAATCATTTATATACTCCATGGTTCTACAAGGACAGCATTTTGCATATCAACACATAGAGAGGGAGTACTGTAAAAAACAGGTGTTGCAAAACAGACTGGATTGCTTTAACCAGTATATGCAGTGAATGTCCTTAGAAAGTGTGCGTGTGTGCAAATGTGTCTGTGTCCATGTATAATATTAACTACCTCACTCTGCATTTTCCAGGAAAAATATTTTGGCTTAGACATTTACTACTTAATCTAGTAGCAATTTCACATTGATGTTGACAACGTGTTTCTTTTTGTATGAGGCAATACTTGTAATTACAAAAAAAGATCTGGTAAAATACATACTTCTGGATATGGATGATATTTTATCCAAAACATGTTGCCTAAATTATGCTTGTAATGTGAACCTTGTGAGATCAGATGTTGGGGTTAATAGGCAATGAATACAAACACACAGTGTTTCATTTTTATTTTTCAATGGGTTTCTATTCATGTGTGTCTTCTCTGGAAAATAATATAATGCCACTAATCAAAGTGAAGTGTTTGTATGTATGTTTACCTTACAATCCTCATTATGTTATGTGTTTTGTTGAAGTACACCATGTAAGTGTATTTGTACAGCAGTGTGTCCACTGTATTGTATCCATGTCAAAAATAAAAACAATACAACAAAGCCAGCTCTTCAAATCTAAGCACGTGTATTTTGGGTAGAAGCAGAAGCAGGGGGCAGAAAAGCAACTTAAAAACTTTTAAAAGCAGCTGTGGGGTTACAGCACCTGAACAGCTGTACAGAGGACCATGTTCTGCCACCCTTGCTGAAGTGGAGGAGCTCTTTGCTCCAGGAGCTCTTCCCTTGGCCTACCTATACGCAATGCACAAAACACACTGGAATCCTGCCTCACTGAAAGCAATGGCAAACTGCTTTGGAGTTTCATTTCAGCTACATTTTTTAAACTAGTACAAAATACATAGAAGAAAAACTAACATTAGACCATATCATACAAATGCATAGTAAAAGCCAAATAAAATTGGAAGGAGCAAACAAAAATACTGCTAGTTCAAAGAGGAAAAAAAAGGGGGAGATGAAAGGAACTTGCAAAAAACTATGCTTATTATAGATGCATATTAAAGTATGAGACACATTTGTTACTGCTTGGTGACCTGGCCAGTTGATGAATGGATGTCCTTACTTGATTGGGATTGAGCACACGTCCCTCAAACCTGTCTTGAGAACAACTACTGGAAGACTAATTTTCAAAACAGAGGCAAGCACAGTAAGAAAAGACAAAGATACAACTGCAGGCTGGCCTCAAAACTGCCTCCCAGTGTCCGTAAAAAATACTGTTTTCCAAAGAATGATGCAATAGTTTGCATTGCCAAAATACACAGTTTTTCCCAAATAAAACCCAAATTGTTTCTTCAGCAGCACATCACTTCACAGGTATCTCTGTGCCATAAAGATGCTGCTTGTCCTAAGCTGATTCCATGAAAGCATAAACAGGAACATAATCCATCTAGCCAATGTATCTATAATGAGTGTCAGGAGCACTGGACAGTAAGGCACAAGGAAAACGAGCTGGAGCTATCCTGTGAAGTGTAACTAAGAAAATTCTATTAATTAAACTTTGAATCTGAGACCTTCAAAATTAGGACTTTAGTCAGTCTCCTGCTCCCTCTGCTGGACTATGTCCACTTAGATTTCATATAATCAGAGTCATATAATGGCCCAGACTGGAAGAAGCCTTAAAGATTATCTAGTTTCAACCCCCCTGTAGTGGGCATACTTGTGACTTCTCAGCCTTCCAGCTCTTTTTCTTCTAACTAAAATACATGGACAACTGAACTACTTGAAATAATGCAGTTTATTGTAGTTTTATTATGTGGTCCAAAATTACCTTCTTACAAAACTGCCAGCACATAATAAAATGAAATACTGTCAAGTAATCAAAAGAAAACATACTGTAAACACTGATTAATAAAAATTCCCAAAAGAAAAATACCCAAATAATGCCATTAAAATTGTTGTAGAGGTATTTGTTGTTTAAAACCATTTAGTTAAAATGCAGATGTGGAGCTTCTGATTAAAAAAATAAATGACCTGAGTTGGAAAACAACCAGAAAAATCAAACAGATGCAGGTTCTTATCAGTTCTTCTTTTCATTATGAAATGAGAATGCAAAATAACAGATCAACAACAAAAAAAAAAGACAAACCCTCTCTCAATCCAGACAGGCTTTGCTACAGTTCAGTGCTCAGCCCCAGGGCAGGAATGAGGAAATACTCCACGCAGGTCAAAAGCTCTGCTAAAGTCAAACAATTCTCTATGTTGGCCCTTGGTCAAAACAAGGTTCCTCAAACAGCCACGGAATGAAGTCCTGCTTGTGAGGCAGTTTTGCTTGACATCAGCTGAAAAACAAACATGAAATACGTAAAATCTATTTCTACCAAACTGAAAAAAAAATACAAAGATCCAGTTTATTAAAATTCTCCCCCTCTGAAATGAGAAATAAAACCAACACCTGGGGAGGATCAAGTTCCATATATGTTTGGATGAAGTGTGACATCCCAACATGGACAGGCACTGCTCTTTTCAGGAATAAGTCATGCACAGCAATAACTTGACAGAGTTTGCAGAAATCGTTTTTGCCAGGGGACAATGGAAGATGAGAGGGAAAAACAGAGGAGAAAGCCACTCTGCATAAGTGTTTATGAAGGTAAAATAGAAACTAGCAGAGTATGAAGCAACAGCTGAGCTGTACACAGTCACAGTTCCCATGGCAAACCAAAAGGGAGCACATGTTAAGAGTCATTCTTTTGAGAGTGAGCACAGGAGGGGCGGGAGGGAAGGGAAATATTATTGTACCTACCAGGGTAACCTCCAACATAAATGGGATTGTTCGTATCTGCAGATGTTGACTGGACGTAGGGATTATCAGTGTGAACCAAATTCCCATCAATTATCAGCGAAATGTGATGTTTGCTTTTGTTTGCTTGAAGCTTGTGCCATTTCCCATCACACAAGCTATTTGTGCCTCTTGGTTCGTAGGAAGCTGTTAGCCTGCCAGCTCCATTGTTGACATGGAATAAAACCTGTGCAAACAGCCAGATGCCAATGAAGATATAAAGTAAGAATACATGAACTAATCTGCTTAGATAAAAGCACAATCACACTGGTGCAGAGAATTCCATTTTAAATGTTTGGCAATACACACAGTTAATGTTTACTTTGATGGGTAGAGTAGATCCTTATTAAAGTGTTTTTTAAAATTTTAAACAATAAGATCTACTATGCAATGATCCATTGATACACTTCACTAGGGATTTCAATGTTTCTTACAAATACAAATCAAGATCTTTTTCACATAACCTGAGACTTCAGATCTGAAAGATGAATCACTGTATATAACTGAAGAGAAAGAAGAATGGCCTGAAAGCACTTGTCATTGCCAATAAATACATTTATTTTTTTCATGTATTTAGTTTTCAAAGCAGCAGACATTTCTTCAACTCTGTGGTGAGGATTAATATGTAAGTATTACATATTAATACTGGGAAAGTATGTCCCACAGAAACAGTGATATTTAACACCGTCTCCAGCTAGGAAGCTTTGAATAAAAAATGAGCTATTTCTGCAAAAACAAACACTTAAGAGCAATCAAGTGTATATTTT